GTCATTTCAGATGCCCTCTCTTGGGCAAGCTTAAATGTTACTGTTCTGTGAAGCGGTGTCGTGTGTTGCAGTGCCTTCAGCCCAGAGATATTTGGGGACATTGCTAGAGATAGCTTAGGGAGTCTAATGAACAAGTTTGTCAAATTGGTGCTATCTTTGACTCTTTTACGGAGCTGAGAGAGTAAATGCGATAAACTGCTTTGTGTATTAGGGGCAAAAATGAGACCACCAAACTAATTTTTATTTGCAAACTAATTTGAGCCCAGCTCTTCTGATGCACAGAACTCATGATTTTACTTTCTTTGCTACGTAATCCCTATCTATGTTTTTTAAATGGCTATATCTGATAGAGCAGCAGTGTTTTGGTAAGGTGCCAGACAGCATTCTCTCTAAGCTGTGTGGTATGTGTGGCTGTGCAGCTGCACATGCCACACAGGTTAGAGAGAATGCTGGCCAGACAGTTGAACCAAAACCTTTGGCAAGAAATATTGAATGGACAAGTAGACAAATAATGGTTCTTAGTTTTTGGATGTTCGCAAATAACTTTTAATAGCATGGCATATAATTAGCTTGCTAAAATAAAAATAACTTTTTTTTTACAATCAATAAAGGTATTGCTTGTTTATAATCAATAAAGGTAAGAATTGGAAGCATGGGTGCAAGGTACTTGAACAGAACAGCGTCATGATGAATATGTTACACACACACACACACACACACACACTGAGTTGTGTATTGTGTGGGTGTGGGTGTTGCATATTCATCATGACGCTGTTCTGTTCAAGTACCTTGCACCCATGCTTCCATTTCTTACCTTTATTGATGTGTTTTATGTGGGCAAGATGGTCCTGTATCTGGGCAAAATATGTAAAACCCTCTGGCCTCATTGGCCAGAGGAAGCAGAAGATCCTCCAGGCAGATGAGTAAGAAAGATACTGGACTGTGGCACTCCCTAATTGGACAAGGCTAGGGGGATGTCACACAAGGTATATAAGAACAACTCAACTAAGGTTTCTAGCTCTTTCTCCTGGGGCTGCTGAGAACTGCACAGCTGAACTGGGAGCCAGGAAATCTGTTCCCTATGGAGGACTCCCCCACCTTTTCACTAGAGAGGCAAGCAAAAGCTACAGGATAGGAAAGCCTCAGATACAGGGAGAGAACATCTGTCTCGGAGTCTGAGATTCTTATTTCCTCTTCCTTTCCCCCTTTTTTTACTTAAATGGGTTAATGCCATGGGGGTATTAATCCCTGGAACAAACTGCCCAGGAATGAGTCTTGGCAATTATTGGCCCCTGTGTTTGGGAATTGTAGTGTCTCAGCATAGTGGTACAGTTGAGACTGGATGTCCATGCTATAGCCATAGGCCTGGCCTATTTTGCTGTTTCACAGCTCTTGCGTTTCAGCTTAGCTGTGTGGCTGAACCCCAGCTATATGTTTGGCTGGCAGATTTGGGCCAGGGTAAAGCCTGGCACGGTTTGAGCCAGGGTGAGACCTGGCACTTCTTGTTGATCCAGGCCTCAGTGCAGTATAGGCCTGGACGGCTTTTTGTTGTCCAGTCCAGGCCCAGCAAGATAGGCCTGGGCCTTCTTTGTCCCTTTCGTAGTTTATGTCCCAATCAAGCGGTGTGGTTGGGTGCTAGTTGTAGTTCAGGCCTAAGCCAAGATAGGCCTGACATTTACTAAATTCTTTTGCAGTTTCCTGCCCAGCAAAACAGGGATTGGGACTAGGGATTTTGGGGTGCGGTATGCTGATGAAAACTGCCCCTCAAAGCCACCATGCAGAAGTGGAAGTTGGTGCTCTACCACGTCTCCAGGAGCAGTGGAGCCCCTTGCAATGCAGAAGGACCCACACTCCCAAGTAGCTCCCCATGGTGTGGTGAACCCAAAGAGCAGCTCGTAGGACTCTCTGGTGTGGGCCCTGCTCTCCAGCCTATTGCTGAAGGGCATATATAGGGACACAGGCCCCAGGAACTACCCATTGGACAGCCCCAAGTCCCAGACTGCCTGGGTATGGGTGAAGCCTCCCCCAAGAGGGTGGCACCTATAGGCTTTGCTTTATATTTAATAGTGTTTTAAAATTATATTTAATGTTTTCTTTTGTGTTGTTTTATTTTTGGTAATAAATTTGGATGTTTGTGTTTATACTGCTTGTGAGGAGGGGTTTTTTGTTTATGTGGGACACTCTAGTAATTTATTTAGTGTTTTCCAGGTGGTCTGGGTGGGGCTGAAGCCGAGGTAAAATATCTTTGGTACCCCAAAATTGAACCTAGCTCTTGTTGCTGTCAACTGGTGCCTGGCAGAAGGATTACAAATATATAAAAAAATGTTTTGTGCATGTAGATTAATGGTGTACAAGGGTAAACGGTGGTTTGCTTTTTTTTAAGTCCTATTGCTGTTGAATTATACTAAAGCTTTGATGACTTTCTGCCAGGAAGTCTGGCTGTCTATTAGATCCTAGTGTTTATGGTGCAGTGTTTCCTTTCTATTTTTTAGCATAGGCACACATCTGAAGGTTTTGGTGAGTGCAGGTTTTTTGTGGTTAAAATATGCTGTACTAAAACATTTGTTATGGTCCCTTTAGTGATAGAGTAAACAGTGGCAGGGTTTAATTACAGCTTCATTCACATTAGATTTAACATCTCTGGTTTGTTGTTTGCTACTGAGATATTCATGTAGATATTTTTATTTTACATCTACCATTTTTCCACTTGCTGATCATATCTTATTAGAAATAAGTTAAACTTCTAATTGACCATGACCCTGAAGGAAACTGATTTTCTCTACTACTCCCTCAGAAAATGTAACTTTGGCATCTATTTCCTTTATATAATGAGCTCTGGGAACCCTTCCATGATCCCTTGATATGTGGTGTACAGAAGTTTGTCTGGGAGCACAGCGTAGCCTTGCAAAAATTAGAATGAATGAATGCAAGTAAATCAATTAGTGATTATACTAAAAAGGAAAAAAAGGGGGATGATCTTGATATGGAAAAGCATTATGTCAAAATCACAATGAATATATAATTACTATTGCATCTGACCACTGGGAAAAAACATTGACCACTAGTATGTAAGAATGTTAAGTACCATAATGCTTATATACCAGGCACTTGAAGGGGGGCCTGATAAGAATTTACAAAAGACTAAATGGTGAAGAGAAGGTAAATAGAGATTTATTATTTACTATCTATCGCAATACAAGAATTAGGGGTCATACAATGAAAATAATAGGTAGTAAATTTAAAACTAACCAAAGGAAGTTTTTTTTCACACAGCATGTCCTTAAATTGCGGAACTCTTGCCACCAGATGTTGTGGAAGCTGATAGTTTAGCCAGTTTCAAATAGGGATTGGACAAATTCTTGGTGGAAAAGGCCATAAGTACCTATTGAGCACAGGAGTTAAGGATACAGCCTCTGAATCAGAATTTCTTGGACCTTAAGGGTAGGTATCAACATTCAAGAAGCCCAAGGCAGAATCGATCTAAGTTACGCACTTTCTGTAAATGGCATAGTTTAGATAGGTTGGTTGGTTACAGTGTGGTGCTAACACCAAATTTGCAGGTTTGTTCCTTGGTTGGACTAGATGATCTCTTGAGATCCTTTCCAGCCATACTTAACTATGAAATGCCTGTGCAAATTGGACCTTCCATGTCTTGGTTTTGGAACCAACAATGTTTGTTCGCTCTTGACAATTTGGAACTTATCTACTAAACAGCAGAAAAAAAAGCACTTGAAACCTTGAATATTATAAATACATAGGGGAATATTCTTTCAGGATTCCAGTAGGTTAAGAGCCATTGTTATTTGCCCCTTCAATAAATACTTCAAATGACTTTAATGAATATTTTTACTGATTCATAAATGCTATGTCAGTCCCTTGTCCTTTAAATATTTTCTTTTCTTTTCTTTTTTTAGTGAGGTGCATCTGTTTCAAGTGGCAGGCAGTGGAGACGTTGTATGTTAGGTACAAATACTTTTCAGTCATTTTAAAAAGATGTTTATTATATACCTACATCTCTTATGTTTTCTATATAGCTATGGGCTTTATTCAGAATACGAATGTGAAACCTAGAGGTTTTTCATGGATGGGAGTGTTCTTAGAATTGTCTGGGAACACTCCAAAGTCATGACCTCATTTTATTTGTAATAAGAGGAAAATGCATATGTTAGAATTACAGAGGGAAAGTTCTATTAAAAAAAAAAGCAATCCAATTAGCCTTATAATATATCCTGGTTTATTTTAAATGGGAAATTTTCCCATTTTCCAGTGGCATATGCATCATCAGTTTCAGTGACTTGATACAGAAAGTGTTATTTCTGAGGCTACAAATCATTTCAGTTTTTGATTATTAATGATATATAGGTCCATAAGAAAATTATATTATATTTTCTTCTGGAGTGGTTATGTGTATTTGCACATGTATTTATGTATGCATGTGTTTTACTTTACTTTATTGTACTGTATTGAGTACTAATGAATTTATGCATGATTAATATGAAACAGTTTTTCTGGAAGCTGTACCAAAATTTACATTTGTTGCAGGCTATATTTGCATTCTTAAAATTAAAAGTGAATTGTCCAGAAACACACTATTCTGGTTTTCCAGTAGAACAAGTCATTCCTGGGTATGCCTTATTTGGATGGAGTAGAGAAGTAATGTGATCATGGCTTTGGAGTCCGTGTTATCTAAAATATTACAACTCGGCAGTTTTCCCATAATCCTAGGATCCACATAATCCTTTTAGGCCAGTTAATTTCATTAAATCACTTCTGTTATGAAATTACTGAATGGTAGTATTTTAATTAAATATATTCTTTGACATTTAAAAATAGTTGACTTGACTAGGTCATTTAATTATACTTTATCTGTAGGAAAGCATTAGCTCTGCTGAGAGTGATAGCTAGCAAGGCCATTTGTAATGTCTTTCAGTTCACTCATACTGAATTGTTCAGATAAAGACCATCAAGTGCTGCCTAAATAAGGAAGAAGCTCTGTGAAGGTTAAGCTCAGTGCAGGACGCAAGAAGAGCATAGGTCTCACGCACACTGAAGAATGGAAACTGATTGTTACAGCTCTTGACTTTTTTTTAAATGTTGTTTTATTGCGTTTCTTCTAGTATATAAAAATGAGAGTGCCTGTCATTCAGGATTTCAGGGTGGGTGAGAGTGAGGAGGAGGAAGATGAGGAAGAAGAAAAGGTTAGTGGTAGTTGATCACTTTTGTGAAAGTGCTTATTTTTCTCTCTACTATTTCAGTTCAGTTTTTGGTTTCTTTTTAGGTATTCTGTAAGCCTGTTATTGAGGACAGAAACATGGAATTGGCTAAAAGATGCACTGAACTGATAAGTGATGTAAGTTTTATTTTCATTCCTTTCTTTTGAAGGTGTAATATTTATTTTTTGTTCAGAATCCAGAATTTCAGTTTTTGTATTATTATTTTTGTTCAAATTTTTACAACGTAGCTGCTAATGTCCATCCAGTACTCTGAATGTCTGTCCTATGTATAAAAACACAGCATAATATAATAGAACAAGGTGGCTTATATACAGCCCTTCTCCCATTCCCCCTCACCTTCACCACATATTTTCCTCAATAGCCTGAGAAAAAAGCCTGAGCTTCACATCAATCATGAAAAACCAAAAAAATGCAGGAGCTTAATGCTAACATGGAGGGTGTTGCAAAATTCAGGTTGTTTTATAGAGGACATTCTGGCAGCAATTCCTTGTCTGAAAATGAGAGGAGGTCTGCAGTGAGAATGTCTCTGCTGATCTCTACTGTGGTATGGGAAAAAGACAATGTTATATATTGGGTAATCATACCCTGAACCCTTTAATATATTATAAGTTAAAACAAGCACATTATATTTCTCACTCAAAAGTGAACTGGGAGCCATTCTGCATGGTATGTATTGGACTAAATCTCAATAGATAACATTAAATACCTTTGTTATGTGATAAAACTGCTGAACTGTTTGGCATATTATTCTTGATCTTTATATTTGGGGAAATGCTATTAAAATGTTAGAGTATCTTTTAAGACTGTTTAATTAAAATTCTTAACTTAAAACTAGTATAGAAATCTACTATATATGTTCCCAGGGAATAAACAGCTTGGAGTAGATTCTTAGCTGATGAAGCAAATAGAGCTCTCTCATATTAATGAAGAAATGTAAACTTTTTTTTGGCTAAGGTTTAAATTTTATTTGCTTTTCTGTCTTTTGTTAAAATGTGTGCTCCAGAAAGAGCTTTGCCACTGCACACTAACTGGGGAGCTGTTTTTAATTAGCAGCAGTTAGAGTGACTTGTCTCCTTCATGGTCTATTTAAGATGGAGACTGGCAGCAGGCAACCCGTTGCTGGTGAGATGGAGACTTGCATGAAAAAATGCTTTTTCCAGCTACTCCTGGACTAAGACATTTGGAAGTTAAGTGAGGGCTAGATTAGTCTTGGGGCTTTATTAGTCAAAGCTATTAAGTGTATTATCTTTCTGATATTAAAATATGCAAAAAGAGGACTTTAGTGGGTGCAGGAAATTCATTACTGTTTATCAAGAAATAACAAATATCTGATTGAATGGTAGTGTGTATGGAATGCTTAGACACTACCATCCTGGGTAGGGATTATAACTTGACAAGATTAAAACTTTTCTAGTCTGTGGGCTGTCTGGTAATACTTAAATCTTTGTATGACGGTCTGCTGAATATTGAATACAGTCTTATCAGAGGCTGGTAAAATCATTACTGAATAACCTTAAGGTATTTTGAGACGGAGTACAGGTTATTTATATATGATATTGATGGTTATCTATGTATTGATTTTGGAAATGAACAGCATGTCATAAATGCTTGTCAAATCACATACAAGCCAAAGAGAAAGTAAAGATGAAGCATTAAGCTGACCTGAAAAACATTTAATTTTCCTATCCCACTTTTTTCTATAATTTCTATCTTAAAAGCAACTCCCTTTTCCCATGCTAAAACAAAACCCTCTGAAAAGTGGTAGTAAATTATTTGTTTTAATTAAAAAAGAATATATGTCTCTAGGTTTTGGTGCTGGTTGATGCTGATAATTGATAAATACTGTAGCTGAAGTACTGAAGTACTGTTCTCTCTTGCTCTGTATGGAGTTAGAAGCTAAGGTGAATAACTGAGTTCAGTTGGGGTCTCTCAACCTTGTAATGATTCACAGACCTGGCTTTTGCTGGAAGAGTGATGCATTCAGTCTAGAAGCACATGCCAGATTTTCCCTGAGGTTTGTGAAGCCTAAAGTAACTGTGCCACTTATGCTTTTGAAGTGATAGTAATGTGTAATGGTCCAGAACAAATATAATTTCAAATAGAATTCACCTTGTTAACATACCAAAAAGGAACCCACTTTCTGGGCTAATCCAATTCTTTCTGAAATCACTGAGTGCATTTCCACCAGTTCAATGGACATTTGATCAGGTCAAGAATGGTACAATTTCTTCCAAGAAATCTACATTTGAAATTTCAGCATGATTAGTGTACCCAAGAGTTAAAATCTACCCTACCTCCACACTTTTCAGGAATGGTGGCAGAACCTCTTCAGGCTTCCTTCAGTTACAGTGGATGCATGTCACTGTGAGGGTTAGATTGATATTATTTCATTCAGGCAGTGTTAAGTTTGGAAATAATG